CGTGTGGGATGCCTACACTGCGACAAAGGATGCTCATGCTGTTTGCATTCTTACAGAGTGGGATGGATTCAAGAATCTTGATTACAAGAAGATATACGATAACATGCAGAAACCTGCTTTCATATTTGATGGTAGGAATGTTGTTGACGCGGACAAGCTTAGAAAGATTGGATTTATTGTCTATGCAATTGGTAAGCCCCTGGATGTCTGGCTAAAGGACATGCCTGCTGTTGTTTGAAACCCCTACTTTTCTTATTAGTAATCAGATAGTCATCTTGGATGAGCTTCATTCTTTACTATTTGTTTTGTCCCTTGTAGACACAGAACAAAGTCATTCTCTACTATTTGTTGTTATACTTTTTGGTATTTGAATATTTACCAGAAAAATTACAAAATCAAATAGCCTCGCACTTACTCTTTTATGTTAAAAGAAAAAGAAATTTTTTTTGAGCAAAATCCTACTTATAATGATGGGTGCTTAGCACAGTAACAGATAAAACATTGGATCAACTTAAATGGCTCGTATGCATCTCACAAGCTAAATTCAGTTAATACAACTATTCTCATGTGCTTTAAATATAGCAGATATTAAAAGTGTTTTAACTGTTGTGAATAATTTGGTGATTAAACTGATGACCATAACTCCTAGGTTAATTTCCGTAGTAGTGTTGTTGATAGTGGTCAAATGGATAACCATAACTCCAAGGTTGATATTGGTAGTAATGTTGTTGATAATATGATCAAATGGATGACCATAACTCCTAGGGTTTATTTCCTCGTATTTTCAAGGTTTAACGTCATGTTTATGACATCCTTAATGTAATCCTATAAATAGTAGTATTGAGAATGATATTGAATACACTTGAAAGAAAGAAAGAAAGTTAATTTATATTCTTGTTATTTTCATCTTATATTGCTCTTTTGTTTTTAAGTTTTACAAATGACAAAAATTGTTCATAATTTCATTTGAAGTTTATTTTACTTGAATTTGGCTCGTGATAGCAAGTTTAATGTAGGTTGTCCATATGTTATGGGAAATAATATGGATGGATCCATATTTGATCCAACATAAATAGATAAATTAATTATCCAATCCGTTTATGGTTGGACGATTCTATCGGCACTATGCCACAAATGTTTGTACTGCTTTCTTTTCCCCTCCAATTTTACGAATCATCCATTTTGATGGATGAGGCAGTATAAGTCTTGTTTCATGATATAATTTAATGTCACCAAACCATTAAATCAAGGAGAAGCAGAAAATGAGACTCTTCATCTCTTATTATGTGGTAATAACATCATCCTCTTACACATACATTATATACCTTCATCACATGATAAAAAGAGAAACTACTTACTGTGCCTTTGTTATTTTTCATTCACTTCCCCCTCTTATGCTATTTCCACAGCTTCAATGTTCCAAATGTCTTTGGCATATTCATGGATTGTTCTGTCACTGCTGAACTTGTACGATCCCGCTGTATTCAAGATTGACATCGTTGTCCACCTCTGACCAAGTGATAAACACAAGTCATTTTTTACAAATATTTTAATGATCAAAGTCAATAGCATACACAAAACATGAGAAACCAAACAAAATATCCACAACGAATTGCAACAAACTGGACTTACTTTCTGGTCGCGATATGCCTCATCAACTTTCTCTTGGCATTCTATGTAACTGGGGAAGTCCTTGCCCACAAGGAAATAGTCAGCACGGCCAAAACCTTCATTTCCTTCCAACGATCCAATTAGGTCATCATAGTTATAAGAGCCAAAAGCACCGCTTCTAACAAATTCCTTCACCTCTTCAAAACGTTCATCAGGTACAAACTACAAAAGAGAGGAAATAAGATTTTCGTTCAATAACTGAGCAAGGTGACCATTCAAATGCATCTAAGAAGAAACTTTACGGGTGGTTACTGGTAAGGAAATAAAAGACGAAATTTGACCAATCAACCAAGAAAAAAGAACATTGATCAACATGTCACTCAAAAGAGGGGTGAGCTTCACCTTTCCGTCAGCTCTTTCTTTTCTAAGCCCTGCAATTTCATGAGCTTGAGCACCAAAGAGAAAGAAGTTTTCTTCTCCAACCTCTTCCCTTATTTCAACATTAGCGCCATCCAATGTACCAATTTGGATACAACCATTCATTGCAAACTTCATATTACTGGTTCCACTGGCCTCCATTCCAGCCGTACTGGGGATAGGAAGAAAGAGAGTCAAATATACAAATAAATCTCTACATAAAGCTAAAAACATACACCAACAAGATTAATGGAAATATTAGATTTTTATGTGCAGTTATCACATTACTGAGAAATGAATTGGCTTGGATAAACATTTTCCACTAGTAGTTGCCCCCTTTAAGTATCATTAAGTGACAACATAAAATCATCCTTTTTTTTTT